TTATATCAGTTTCACTTGTAATATTATCAATTAATGTTTTCAAATACATAAACTTCTTAATGATAAAGCTCTGATGTTATTTGTTTAAATAATTGCACCTTAGATATGGTCGGTGGGACTAAGCAAATTTTAACTGATAAGTTGTGTCATCCTTGAGGTTACTTCAGATTATTAGTTGATTGATATAGTACCATACCTATTGTTTTTGTTTTCTATTTCTGTGCGCCCATTATTTTGGTGAAAATCCAAGTCCAAGTTCACTTTTTATGCATATAGTATTTCCAAGTTTAATCCATGTTTCATTTCTTAGTAACTAAAGTACCTACTGCATATGTTTTCTTATTTTATTTATTTTTTGTTCCTTCTCTTTTCCCTTTTTTTTTTTGGCTCTATAGAAAGATGCCATTTCAAAGGCCCTATCATCGAAAAATGTATTTTTGCTGCACGGGCCTCCTGGAACAGGCAAAACTACGACTGTGGTGGAAATTATCTTGCAAGAAGTTAAACGTGGATCAAAGATTCTTGCATGTGCTGCTTCAAATATTGCTGTTGACAACATTGTTGAGCGACTTGCACGCCACAGGTATTGCACTACTTTTGTTTTTGAGAACTTCATCTTTTAATTGAAATTTTAATGTTAACTCTAGCAAAGGAATATTGAGATCCTAAATATAAGTTTTTTGTAATCCTTTCATGGGTCCCTCATTTCTTCTTTTATTTGTTTACTCCTTTTTTTCATTATTTCTGTTGTCATGCTGTTGTTAAGGAACGCCACTCATTACTTATTACCGTGTCGTTTATTAGAGTAAAGTTAGTGAGATTGGGGCATCCTGCACGTTTACTACCTCAAGTACTGGACAGTGCATTGGATGCACAGGTATGTGAATTCTTCAACTTTGTAAGAAGAGAAAGAATTAAATTCTTGTTTTTCTGGTAGCAGATTTTACTTCTTATTTAAAAATTATTATTTCATCGGATTAGCATGATTTTTGGTCTATATCTCTGCATTCTGCAACATTGGTTTTCTTTCTCCTATGTATATGAAGATTGACAGTCTGCCTTTGCATCCTCTATGAATATGTAATATGTATTATGTATACAAGTGTGTGAACAGACATATATGTAGACACACGTACAGATATGTATATAATTCTTCTAAAGAATATATGTGTGCTTGAACTGATGCCTGACAAGTAATCAGGGATTTAGTTATCTTTGTGTGTCTAATTGGATTAGTAAATACACCTCAACTGTCGTTCTTATTTCAGATCCCATTCTTTTCTGTCTTCTATTATTGCTGCATGGATGTGCACTTTTGTCATTCTCTGGAATTTTAGCTTCAAAGTACATGCATTGCCTTTTATATATTATGGTGTATGTCATATTGGGAAAAACTTCTAAATAGGATTATTCTTTTTGATAAAAAAAGTGATCACATGGGTGATCACCCAGAAATGTGGTCAAATTATCCAAACCGTTCTTTTTGAAGTACTAATAAAGGATCATCCTTGTAAAAATCAACTAAATAAGAAACCATTAGTCATCTAATTGTCATCAAATAGATAGACAAACTTAGTGTTTCGACGATGTTTAAACATTTGTAATGATAATAAGCAAATAGCTCAGTGATTTTCGATTTGGTTGATTTTTTACATGGATACACCTTGGGGACTCTAAAACTGAGCTGTTCAGATTATTGGATCACATTGAGTGGTGGACGCCATCAAAGTAGTCCTTTCTTTTCTCAAAATGAGGACATTCCCTTTAGAATCTCCTTCTATCATATTATAACTTGCCTGTTTTTGTTTAACTATTTTTCTTACCATACATTGTTCTATGCTGTCAGGTCTTGCAAGGGGATAATAGTGCTTTGGCAAATGACATTCGGAAGGAAATGAAGGTAGTTATGTAGAGTAAAATTGAAGCCTGAACTTGTAAAATCTTGCATGTATGAGTTTCAAATAAAAGTTACAATTGAATTTTTGTTGACAAGGATGCTTTACCACACTAACATGTTAGCATTTATTTATTTAGTAGGATTTTTCTTTTGGTTACATTGGAAGGGATTGTACCCTTGACCTATCATAATCCTAATCATTTCCCCACCCTCTCTCAACACTTGGATTTGTTTAATAGGACTTAATTATAGAGGTTAATGTGCTAAAGACTGAAGTCTCACTGACCATTGCATGGCTTAACCTTAGGAGCTTGCACATTGCATTTTTCCAGGCATTAAATGGGAAGCTGTTAAGAACCAAAGATAAGAACACAAGGAGGGAAATCCAGAAGGAGCTTAGGACTCTATCAAAGGAAGAACGTAAAAGGCAGCAGCTAGCTGTGACAGACGTAATAAAAAATGCAGATGTGGTGTTGACAACTTTGACTGGGGCATCTTCTCGCAAGCTGGACAATACTTCATTTGATTTGGTGATTATTGATGAAGCTGCTCAGGCACTTGAAATAGCATGCTGGATGGCTTTGCTAAAGGTAACGGTCAATACAAAGGCATATACATGAGCATGAACACCAAAACTTGCATATGCATTTCCATAAAGTACCTGTTCATGTCGTATGTATGCACATAGTAATGCATGTTGATTTGTGTGAGTGGTCATCAAACACATAACATTTCATTGTTTTAGGGTTCAAGATGTATACTTGCAGGCGACCATCTTCAGCTTCCTCCAACCATCCAGAGTGCTGAAGCTGAGAGGAAAGGTTTAGGAAGGACCCTCTTTGAACGTCTTGCAGACATATATGGAAATGAAGTCGTGTCTATGCTCACTGTCCAGTACCGAATGCATGAACGCATCATGGATTGGTCATCAAAGGAACTGTACAACAGTAAGGTGCTGAGAGCATGTGTTAGAACTTCCAATAACTGAGTGTTAGAACTTATATCATTTTTTAAAGAATAAAAAAATGATTCGCTTTGATTGTGTGATATGATTATATGGTTTAATATCATTACAGATTAAAGCCCATTCAAGTGTTGCTGGACATATGCTTTTGGATCTTGAGGATGTAAAGAGGACCCCTTCAACAGAACCAACCCTTCTTCTAATAGATACAGCTGGGTATGCCGTGTATTGTTGCCATATACTCAAAGTTCTATTTTTGTTTTTTCGGAATACTGTGGATCACTCGTGGAGGATGTTTGGAACCATATAAAGTAAATCACCGCAATATCCTCTGAGATTAGGATTTGGATACCATTGTCCACTTCAGTGAAATCTTAATGATGCGGAATACCAAAATGCTGATTTTGGAAAACTGTCAAGTAACACCTAGGCATGTCAATTTGTGCTTTGATGGGTTAGAAAAAATTTCAAATGATACTGCACAAACAAACATGACATGACAAGATATCCTATAACCTATGACACAACTCAACGAGTAATATGTTTACTTTACGTTGGGAGAATTATTTTATCATTTATTTGGTTAATTCATGCCAATTTCATGTTAAAATGCTTGACACAAACACCATAGGGCACAAGCAAAATCAATTATTTAAATTTCATGCCAATCCCGCTTGATGTTGTTAGTTGTGACATTTTATTTTGTAATTTCCAAAATTCCATCCATAGTAGTGCGGCTAACGCCAGATGAGGTCCCATGAAAAAGAGTCATTTTGAATGTTGTGAGAAACAAAAACAAGTAGATCATATGCCGCATCATCTTCTCAAAAGGGATTCCTAATTTAATTTGTAATAAAAGAAATGCCTTCATGTATAACTGTTGCCACTTGTTCATGCTGATCTGTCAGGTGTGACATGGAAGAAAAGAAGGATGAAGAAGAAAGCACTTTGAATGAAGGTGAAGCTGATGTGGCTATTGCCCATGCTAAGAGACTTGTTCAAAGCGGTGTTCAGGCTTCTGATATTGGAATTATCACCCCTTATGCTGCACAGGTATTAACATGCCCTTTTCCTTGCTGTAAGCATTAGCTTCTTGTTATGAGCTTCATTTCTCTATATACAGTGAAGGATTACAATAGCTTCTAGATAAATCAAAATCCAAGTGTTCACTTCCATGCAGCTTCTTTAGTAGCATAGATGTCTTTCATTTTTTTTTCTTTCTTATATCTGATCTGTATTGCAGGTTGTCTTACTGAGAATGTTGAGAAGCAATGAAGACAAGCTAAAGGATTTGGAAATCTCAACAGTTGATGGTTTCCAGGGCCGGGAAAAGGAAGCCATCATTATTTCAATGGTTCGGTCTAACTCAAAAAAAGAGGTACACTTGTACTCTGGTACTATTACTAATGCATATTTTCAGAGTTAGATAACAGTTAGCACCATATTCTAGAATATAAGGAATTTAATTTTAGAACTTTGAAATATTCAGGTGGGGTTTCTGAGTGACAACAGGCGAATGAACGTGGCTGTAACACGGGCAAGAAGACAATGCTGTCTTGTCTGTGACACTGAGACGGTGAGTAGTAATGCATTCTTGAAGCGATTAATAGAGTATTTTGAGGAGCATGGTGAGTATCTAAGTGCCTCAGAGTATGGCAATGAATGAGCAAAAATACCTGGGCATAATTTGTTGCTCTGCCCTGCAATCATATGCAAATTGGCTGCATTGTGGTGATACAATAGCATGGCTCTGCTTTTGCGACACAGGACAATTTATACCTATAGAAAATTTGAAAACAATTTTATTGTTGTTGAAGATTTGCCTATTGGAAATTTGTTTATTGTACTTTTTTCTTCTTCTCTAATTATCTTATGTTTTATATTGAGGGCTCACATCTAGAATACAACTGACCATCTGGACCTGTAAGATGTTTCCCTACTTACTTAATTCAAGTCAGAACCAAGCAAACATGAACAAGCAAAACAATACTTTCATACTAAAGGGAATCACACCTCCCATTCACATGGTAGAGTAAAACTGATTTCAACCAGCTCATTTGTGATCAGAAATGTGACTTAAGAGTTATGGAAGCAACAGTAGCATTTGGGACATGTTCCTACTAGATAGTCTGGTATATTATGCCTTAGTACACTCAATCTGGACCCTGAGGTGAACTCTTGTTTGAATATGTCGTGGTGCCAAATTGACAATATAACAATATAACGTGCTATTACCCACTATAGCCTATTTTTAAACGACTACTAAGTGCCGATTTCTAACAAATTCCTTCTCTGGTAAAAGCAAGCCCTACTCTTCCATGTCTAGTTAAACAAGCTTCTCTTACAAGTCCCAAATAGAAGTGGGGAAGGGCAGCTCTTCATTCACATCATAAACTTGAAAGCTGCCAGCATCTGCTCCTTGCTCTGAAATCCCATGCATCTCAATCAATGCATCCCAATTGAAATTCTTGTCAGCAAAGGGTCCAAATTCATCATTAAGTTCTGTAACTGAAGATTCTGGAACTCCAAAATTTCCTGTGGTGCCAATTGCCTCTGATTGTCTCTCCTTTTTCAGTACACCCAGTTGCTGAAGAAACTCATTGAGATCAATCTGCGGCTTCTCCCGGTTGTCTTCAGTCATTTTTTCTGATGAAATTTCCACATCTTTCTCCTTCTCTGCAACGGTTCCTATCTGTGTTTTGTCGCTTATGATGTGAACCTCAGGTTTAGAATCACAGGAAGAAGAACTAGAGGAAGGAGTAGTTTGACCAAGAACCCCATGTTGCTTGAGTTCTTGGAGCCTCTGATGAATGACATGAACACTTGGTTGGGCGTTAATATTGAGCAAACCACAAGAAGGAAACATGGAAATGAAATTTTGGGAAGGGAACCATTTGAACTTTTGAGATTTGAGTGCAGGATTGGAATTGGCTTGGAGGTGAGGAAGATTGAGAAAAGCATCTGGACCATAGAGTCTCCTGGCAGCATCATCATAAGCCATGGCAGCTTCTTCTGCCGTGGCAAAAGAGCCCAACCAGAGCCTGGTTCTCTTCTTTGGTTCTCTGATTTCAGCAACCCATTTGCCCCAAGTTCTTTGCCGAACGCCACGGTATTCACATGAGGCATTCTGAGGGCCACCTTTGCCTCTTGTTGGGCCTTTCTTCCATGGCTTCAATGGAGATTTTCTGCAGTTTTCCATGGCCTTTTTTTCTTGGAGGGTTAGAAAAGCTCAGTTGAGAGTGAGAGTGAGAGAGTGAGAGTGTGGAGTTGAAGCTTGGGAGTGTGTATTAGATTGGTGGAAAGGCGCGGGATATGTAGTGAATGAGAGTGCAGTTTGGTTTAAATGTTGTCACGTTTGGCAAAGTTTTCAAGCTCATGCATGTGACCGTTGTTGCTCCCTACTCTATATACCTTATAGCGATTGGTGAGTGTGAATCTAATTTTTTTTTTCTTTTTCCTCACCCTCTTTGTTTTGACCTTTGCAAGAAAATTCCAAATATAAAGGGCATCATGGCATGTGTGATGGGGGTATATATGCATGCATGTATAAAAGGAAGATGGCTGAAATGTTAATATTGATTGGCTCATTGGATTTTTTTTCATCCACCTTTTCCTTTGTATAAATGTACAAGTATCTAGCAAGAGAACATTGGTAATGCCAGCATTTAGCAAGAGACATTTTTTGTGGTCCTATTATCCGAATCGTGCATTTGTTAGGCCATCATTATAAATAAATAAATAAATATAATAAAAAAAGGATTAACCGTAGTAGAAACTACGTAGTTTTCTAACTATGACCAAATGGAGAGACGAATATAATGTTTTCGATAAAAATTAAAAGGGTTAAAATCTTGCCAATGGGGTCTAGCTCAGTGGAAAATGGCATTGACTTGCAAACAGTGGTTTCAGGTTCAAAATCTCATGACAACTTGGTTGTGTGTGTGAGAAATTGTATGTTAGACTTCGATTGTATTTTTTTAAAACTGAATTTTACATGAAATTTCAATTTACATGCTGAGAAAAAAAAAAATTTAGCCAAATTGGTCACTATATTAACCAAATCTTCCAATTTATAGATGTGCAGTTAGTTTCCGTTAAGTGGCTGAATTAATTACATTTTTGGTAACTAGATTTTACACGAAATTTCAATTTGGTCTAAAAATAATAATAATTAAGAACCATGTAAATACTATGCTCTTCCACATGCTGCCCTAGCAGCTGAGAAAAAAAAAAATTGGAAGTGGATTATTGTCCTAGCAGCTGTTTACCTTGAGAAAAAAGAAAGTTGACAAGATAGTTTTAATGTTGTCTAAAAGAGAAAGTTGGGTGCTTTTAATGTTGTGGTGGTGACTAGAATTCTGGCTAAGCTAAAATGCTTTGACCTATAAAGTGATGGAAGGAAGTGAATTCTTTGAATGAAGACTGACACTCTCCCTAGGATTCTTTGTTCTAATGGTTTAAATACAGGGGGAGAGGTGCTCCAAGAAGACTAAGCATACCATACCCACCTCACAACATTTTAGATTGTCACGAGCTCTATTTCACATGTTTTCCTGCCATTCACAACCTGATACCCGGGACTCTCCTCACCTTTATCCCATGCTAATCCTCTCTCTCTCTCTCTCTCTCGCCACAGACAGGTGAGAAGTTTTTTACGATGTTATTGTATGTGATGATGTTGATGACAACAAGCTCCATAAGTGGCTACCATCCTTGTCTCTTTTCTTTACCCTTTTTTTCATTGTTTTTTTTGTTTTTTTTTTTATGGTGTTGGATGTCACTATGTTTTCTGTGATTGTACTATAATCATAAAACAGCTACATATTATTAGGCATGGCAATGGATTGGGTCGTGTCGGGATAATAAACGTGTTAAGAATACTCAACCCAAATCCGACCCATTTAATAAACATGCCGTGTCGGGTTTGGGTCATCTTATACAAGTTACTTGGTTAATAACCTATTTACTCATTCCTAATTTCCAATTTAAAAAGGGGAAACATTAAAAAGAGGAAACATGAGACTAAATCAGGTTAATAAACATGTTATTTCATTTTTTTTAAAATTAAAAAAATAACATCAGGGCACGCTTCTTGATTCCACAATAGGAGCCTATAGTTTGGCCATTTGGATCTCTTCTCTTGGTCACGCATAGCTTTTTGGGGCTCATCACTTGAGCACCCAAAGATCACACCCTTAGCTTGAGCATAACTTGTGTTGTGATCTCGATGCTTGTGTTTACCTGGTAGATCCAGGGCCTCCATCTACTTTTGCATGTCTTGAGAGTAAAAATCTATCATCTTTGATAACTTTTGATTCTCTTCCTGCAATATTTCAAGTTGATGTCGATTCGCCTCCGCTGTATTTGCCCTCTCTCTCTTCAAACTCCTTATCTCACGCTGACAATCTTCAACCAAATTTCGCTCTACAACCAACTGAGCTTTTAGCACTTCTACCTCATGGGATTTCACAATGAGGCGATGCCCCACAATTGTGACAAATGTCACACTTTGCATGCTCAATGCCATGGCATCACTCACCACCTGCGTATCATCCCTCATTCCCAGCACATGCACATCCCTAGGAGTCACCAAACTCCTCGCAACTCCAATAGCAACATCGTTCTCAATGAGTAAAGAGTCGTTTACAGTAACTGGTCCTCATGAGGAAGCAAAGTAAGGCATCCACACTGGTGCAGCCCTTTGCCCCCATGCCTATGTTGGTGGAGCTGGGTTTAGATTCAGAGAAAATGGGAACGAAAATGCCATTTTTTATCTGAGTTTGAGGAGATAGGCTTATATTTTTCTAAGTTTAAGGAGATAGATTTTCTGAATTTGAGTTGATTTTTTTCTCCCACTGTATCCTTTTATAGAAGTAACTTGCAGGATAGCTCAATAATAATAATTTTTTTTTTAAAGTAATCTACAGGGCCGCTCTATAATTCCAGCTCCTTATTTTCCGCTCCTCGTTTCAAGTTCCCTGTTTTCCGCTTCGAGCTCTACATCTTTGTGATTAGAAATATATATATATATATATTAATTTTTAATGTTTAATTTAATTACTATATATAATATTTTTTAATTTAATTAAGTGTATAATTTTTATTTTTATTTAATTAGAAAGAAAAAAAAAAGACATGTGAAATTCTACGTTTTTTTATAAACAGCTTGAAGAAACATTATAAATATCAAATTGTGTCTCAGTGTACCCTTGGCCCGAGGGAGGCTTAGTGCCTCACTCAACCCCACATCTAACAATCAACTTTTTTTTTTTGGTACTTTAAGCTATAATTTGTAGATTCCAAATTATGTTTCATGTAATTGAGGTAAACTTGGATTAGTTGATATTTCCAACATGTTTAGGCCCAAGTAAATATTTAAAAAGCCTCAAAGTATTTCATTCAAAATTTAAATCCAAGTTCCAACCTGAGTAGTTGATTTT